GAATTTACATTTAAAAACCTGACGACGAAATCTGAAAAAAATTAATTAATATTTTTCTTCAAAAACCTCCGTAATTATTAAAGCATAATATTAATTTTATTGTTTATATTACTTTGGATATACTCATGTTTGCGCCATAAAACCCAGAATTCCAAAATGGCTACAAAGACTATCACGAATCAATTTTGATAATTACTAAATTACGAATTACACAGTTTCTGGAAAGAACTAAATTACACGAGACTGTAAAATTATGGAAACACAAACTTCTAAATATGATATCCCTTTCAGAATACCTGGAATATTCAACTTTTCTATTATCAAAAACGGCTGCCAAATTGTTTATGGCCTTGGAAATTACGTGCTAATTAACTGACATCGTAAATTTGTATTTTCTAACTCCTAGTCATAATACACATGAAATATAAACTGAAATTATGTCAGAATATCGAAAGCTGTTACAAAATATGTAACGAACACCCTAGTTTGTCACAAACAGCGTAACTTGAGAACGTGCCTACACTCAGTGTTCTGCAAGCAAACGAGACGGAAGTGGTTTTCAACACTTTTTGGACATTTAATTAGATTCAGTTATTATATCAACACTAATACTTTCAAATCGTTCAATTAACACAACTCACTGTATTACACGCTGTTCTGCCACACCAGGTTTTCCTTGAAAACAAAAAATAATTACTGAATACGAAAATACGACTCGCCTCCTCCAAGTGCAACAGCTCTCTGACCGCCCAAACCTTCCCGAACGAGATATCGCACTTAATAAGGGAGGGAATTTCAGTGCATCGATAGTGTCCATTACATGCAGCGATTTTTCCTCTAAAATACTTTACATATTAGATCCAAATATCAAATTCAGACATCATAACTCATGCAGAAGTCTGTAGTTTTTGGGCGAAGAACTGTTAGCTTTATTTGAAGGTCCATAATAAAAAACAGAACACAGTCGTTTGATTGCGAAACCTCGTTTCTCACTTCACGAGCGAAGGGCGGTGGCGGGCGGAAATGAACTGCTGAGAGAAGGGAGAGAAAGAGAGAGAGAGATATAAATGAATTAAGGAATGACACATTGTGATTCCTTGATTATACTCTCGAATTGAAGCACTCGCGAGCTGGTATAGAGCAGTAGGTACAGCTACGGGTTGGACGGTCATAAGTTCTGAGTTCGAATCAGGGTAAAGCAAAATTTTTTTCTTCTTCACGTAGTCCAGACTGGTTCTGTGGTCCACCCAATATCCTATACGATGGGTATCGGGGGCTCTTTCCCCGGAGTTAAAGCGGCCGGGGTGTGAAGCTGACTACTCATCTCCAGCTATTGCCGAAGTCAAGAAAATGTGGGTCTATACATCCACTCACACATACGCCTTCAGGCATAGTGCTTAATTAGTTAAGCACAAGGACAGCTTTATATTTTACTGAAATATTCAGAATAAAAGTAAAGAACTCCCTTCCACATCGTAAGTTTTACTCTCTAGGTGTCTGTAGTGACATGGAGCTGAGGCTCCCACCATTCTACGAGTATATCTCAAACAGTATGAGCTACAGTGATAAGACCCCTATCAAATTACCCCCAAGGTGCCCATTTTGTGACCCCAGATCCGTTAGGCCTATGGACGTTCAAAAGGTAAATTTGTCCTTACAATTAACTGATCTATCACCAAGCGATGACATGCTACAATATTAAAAATGACTGGTTGAAGACCTAGAAAAGGATGGTATAAATATATATGATTTAGTATCTTAAAGACATCGGTGTTGAAAGAGGGACAGAGCCTCCTTCCCATCTTGGGGACCATAACGTTATAAGAAACTCTTGGTTTCATGTTTAAATTATTTAACGGTCAGTTTGTAAGTGATTATATTTAACAGCTTAAATTGGTAATGGAGCTGTGAACGGTGAAGTGTTTGCGACCCATTTTAAAACATCAGTCTGCTTCTCACGGAAGGAACTGACGAAAATTCCGAAACAAATCCTGCCAGGATAACAGGCCCTCTGACACAGATTCAAAATACAGGTCTCTGTTGAGTCTCAGTCTACAGACCGAAAGGAAAATCCGCTTTTCCAGACGTAATCATTGTTGAGACTGCAGCGATACAGGTTCCGCCGCGGGCAAAGGATGTAGCTGTCCACTGCCCCCGGCTGCAAGTGAGCGGGTAGCGGGTAGCGGGTACTCACAATGTAGTGGTTAGCAGGGTTGTTTCAGATCCGTGACGTCCACAGTTCTCATCTCGCCTATGCTTATTGATGGTTTCCGTGGTATTCATCAGTCACTTTTTGGAAAAATTTAAATGTGCCACGAACATTTCATGCCTGGGGCATCCGGTAGCGTATTTGGTTGAGGCATTATGCTACCATCCGGAAGGTCGCGGTTTCAGGTCCCGATGAGGTCATTGGATTTTTTTTTTCAATTGACCTAATCCTTCCAGCGGCACTATGTCCCTGTGGTCGACTCAGCCTCTAACAGAAATGAATACCAGGAATTTTCCTGGGGGTAAAGGGCGGCCGGCGCATGGGGCTGACAACTTTGCCGCCATCTATGAGCCGATTGCCTAGAAAATGTGGGGACCGCAACGTCTCACAACCCTATGGGCCTCCACGGCCTGTTGCAGGGATACCTTTACTTTTATTTTGCATTTCATGCCCACTCAAATATATTTGGCAATTATCATGTCATCAGACAATATTATCTGATGAAAATTTTGTAAAATAAATAGATAAGGAGAAATAGGATAACTGAATAAAGGAAAAAGCGTATGTTTCACCTAGGGCAGAAAGATCAGTGCCTGAAGATGACTATTTTACTACAGCATGTGTGCTACAGTCAAGAATGCGTGTAGGTTTTCCTTCACGTCTTCCATACTCCTTCGTGACTACGCATTCAGAGATTATCCTGAATTAGGTTTATAGTAAATTTCCTTAGTCCCACTAGACATATGCAGGGATTACCTACTTACTTACTCATGGGGCTGAGCCCTTCTGGAGGAGCCGCCAATTCTGCAACTACTCAAAAATTTCCCAGCATTTTATGGATCCTGAAGGTTCATTACCATGTTCACAAGAGCCCTCTACTGGTTCCTATCCTGACCCAGATCTATCCATCCTATCCCTCTAAGATCCATTTTAATATTGCTCATCCACCTGCGTCTTTGTCTTCATAGTGGTCTCTTTCCTTCTGGCTTTCCCACCAACATCCTACATGCATTCCTCGTCTCCCCTATTCGTGTTACCTGCACACCTCATCCTCCTAGACTTGATCATTCTAATTATGCTTGGACAAAAGCATGGATAATACATGAAATTAGCAAACATCGCTTTTATTTTTTCGCATCCTCTGCAAATCGAGATTCACTATCATAGGAACATTTGAAGCTACAGGGTCTGAGTGCCGTTGATAAACCACAGATAAATGAAAATTGAAGACAGTCTGGAGGGTGATGCAATGAACCAACAGCCACTGGATTCTGGCGTGGGAACAAGTGAAGTTACACAGTGGACAGAAGCAACACTATCCAATGACGAACCCAGGTGCAGGCATATAACCCTCCCTCCTTCCGTCTTAACCGTCACTACAACCCGCCTTCTGTGTGGTTAGAAATCGCCAGCCTGCAGCAGGATCAAATAACTTGCAGAAGGAATCCTTAGCATAGCATAAATTGATACTTATGAATGCACGTTTGTTAGGAGGTAAATTCCAAGAACTAGCCGTTCCAAACGTATATGAGAAATACTGACTGGCATGTACGTAGTAGATACTTCGGCTGCATTGCAAGTGACGTGGCCTGGGTTCGAATCTGAGGGCTATACGACGCAAAAGCTTCATCTCTCCATACGATTCTACGGTTTTTCTTTCAACCTCATCGAATTTTGTGTAAATGTCTTCCAGGCAAACGTTAGCGCTCTTGGGTTTGACCCCAGAATCTTTTGTAACTGGAAACTCTTTTAATTAGTTCCTTTAAATTACGTACTAGTAACTCCGTGGCCCGTAGTTCAAAAGCGAACTATACCGGCCGAGCGACCGCCGCTTGTCGGCGAAGTTAGTGCCAACTTTTGTGGGTAGAGGGTGTCACGTGGTCAGCGCAACGGATCCCCACAGCAGTTAATTTTGGTTTTCTAGAACGGAGCCCCCATTTCCTTGAAATAGTTCCTCAATTATCCTCATGAGGCTGAGTGGATCCCGTTCCAGACCCACTACTTCTCAGAAAATCTGATAGCACAGGGAATCGAACCCCGATATCTCCGTTGATCAGTTCGTATCCTATGTGCTAAACCGACTCAGATATTTCGGCAGTCCTATACTGTTTATTCCATAAAATTAAAAAAGTAAAGCTATCCCTCTAACAGGTCGTGGAAGGCCCATAGGGTTGTGAGACGTTGAAGGTCCCACATTACCTAGACAATCGGCTCAAAGATGGCGGTAAGGTTGTCAGCCTTACGCGCCGGCCTCGCTTTACTCCCCAGGAAAGTTATTTAATTAATTCCTGGTACTCATTTCGGGCAGAGGCTGAGTCGACCCCAGAGCTGGAAGGATTATTAATTGACCTCATCGGGACTTGAACCCGCGACCTTCCAGCTTGTAGCATAGTGCCTCAACCAACTACGCTACCGCGTGTCCCCAATGTTTATTCCATATAATGGTTAAGCACAGAGCTGTGTTACCTATATGACACATAATATGGTGTAGTGAACTGAATCAGGTAAGTGTGGCTGAAACCCGTAGTCTCACAGGTGATTGATTGGGTGGATATAGATACAGATGTAATTTATTGCATTCATTAATGAAGATTATTTATAAGTACTGACAATGGTGTCATTGCAATTTATACTGCTTACAGCCTTCTCATTCCTATTAAAGTTATTTACTTCTCTTCAACAGTTCTTGAGAGAGCACTAATATACACAAATAAGGGTTACAAAATATATTTCAGAGTGATTTCAGTCTATTTCCATCCTGAATATATCATTCGTCTGGTACGTATTTGGTACACAACTTCGTCATAGGTACGTTGTAACAATTCTGGGTTGGAATGTTTTAAATTTCGCGGTCGTTCTCGAAGATGGCAGTAGTAATGTTCCGGTTTTAACTCTGTGGCAGTGGATGTGACGTTTCAACAACAACTGATCATGGTAGTCATCGAACTTTGGCAGCATTGTTTGGAATAGTTTGACGTGTTCCACTGAAATAAGCAGAAAAATGAAAGTGTTTCTTATTATGAGTGAAACATAAATATTGTGTGTTGAAGATCTGCGTTATAAAAATGCCTCTGTAATCTCTGTGTTATATGACGTACGTATTTTGTGCATAGTTTTATAGTGTTTCGGTGCATGCATTTTATCCAGTCTTTCTATAAGAGACCTTGGCTTTCTCAATTTTAATGATTACTTAATCTGTCACATGATTTTGTATGAGTGATATAAGGAATAGAATGTTGTGATTTGTGAAATAAGTGTCAGATTTGTTTGTAGCATACTTTATTCTGTTCAGGGCAATTTGCAAAATACAAAATGCTTCCAAGAGGACGAAAATTCGGCAATGAGACTCTTGATGTTGCAAATAAGGGATGTTTTGATTCCTTTGATACTTTGGCATGCATTCGTACGACTGTATTAGCAGCAGCTGCAGTCATTACATTGATATTTGTTATTTTGAAGATAGTCAAATACCATGTTTACAGACATCCCCAAATGCATCATTATGCCATCTTCTATGTATCAGCAGTTGAATGCCTGGTGTGGTAAGTGGATATTTTATTATACTTTTTATGTTAATATGTGTGTGATATTAATGTATGTCTTGGAAGTTTTTCTTTTCACCAATACCAGTATTTTGGAATACTGAAATGCTTACTTTTTTATCTTGTATTTAAAATGTGTTTCGTTAATTTATCAAGAAACAAGAGTTCAGTTTTACATAAGTGAACCATTTATGTAATTGTATGGTATTGTATAACCTGGCAGTCCAGTCAGTAATGTGATTGAAACATCATTGTTAAGGTGTGTTCCCTGAACAGAAGAGTAATTTTATAATGCTTTTGGTTTCTGTAAGTTGGGTTACCATATCAGAGTAAACCAGACATTAGTTTACCCTCTGACATATTTGTAATATTGGTTCTTTTGTTTGTTTTATCTGGTTATTATTTAAAATAGTATATCCAGAAATTTGCTAGCCCATTGTTCTTCTGTTTGTATATCCATATATATTTTGCATACCACAGAAAGTATGTACCATGGGGGGGCTATTATGAACACAGTAATGAACCTTCGGGTTCCATAAAATGCTGGGAAATTCACGAGTAGCTGTAGAATTGGTAGCTCCTCAGGAAGGGCTCAACTCCATGAGTAAGTAAGTAAGTAAGTATGTAAGTACAGAAAGTATGGATAAATGATATTGTCGCGTATCGGGCGTATAACGCGACAAATAACTTCACGCCGTATTTTGTACAGCGAATTTTATTTCACATTCGCACTTACAATCACCCAAATTACAGATTTACGGTTACTGCTATCTGCAGTATCACAATTAGTACACTCCAAATGCCAGAATACCACTGACTAGTTGCTGGCTAACTCGGCGGTAGCTCCAGGACTCACTGACAGACTCAGTACAACTGACTGTGAATAGCCTTCGCTGCTCCTTATGTAGTCTCGATCGGACAATACAGCCACATAATAGGCACCCTTGTTGCCTGGCGCTGTGTTGATAGCAACGCAAGCGGTAGTAACCGCTGTTACTACCGTAACAATCCGGTTGCGTCACCGTTACGTCACCGTACAGAGGAGGGGGAGGGGAGCGCTGACTCACCCGCCGCGTCACTGCTGGTGGGGGGGTTCTCTTTTGCGCAACATGTCACAATATCAAATACTTCTTTCTGTTTTATTTTAGTGGTGCAAGTTTTATGGTAGGCAGTCTTTACCCACAGCTGGACTTTACAGCATGTTTTTTGAAGCTCCTGCAGTTTACAATTATCTGCCATCTACATTGGTCACTGGCAGCAAAGACACTTCGTCGAGAAGACATAGTTCAGCACGTGATCAACCCTGTGTTGTGTCTGTACATTCTGTACTGCACTACAGTAGCGCTGATGGGTATGGTTGATGTCACCGGAACCTGGACAGAGTGTATGCGTAAGTAATGCTTCATAAATCCATCGTATATCTCATTATTCAGTCATCTCATTTATTTTTGTATATTTGTGCATGGGAGCCGGGATAGCTCAGTCAGTATAGTGAAATGATATGGGTTGGATAACAGAGGAATCAGAGGGCAAGAAATATTTCACTTCACAGCATTCAAACAGTCTCTGGGTCCATCCAGTGGGTACTAGGGGCCCTTTCTATGGTGGTAGAGTAGCAGGAGCATGAAGCTCACCGATCAAATCCATCTGTTGCTGAGGTTACATATGTACGGAGCCATAGCTCCACTCCCCCCCCCCCCTATGACTTCATGCTGTGGCACTTAATTAAGCACAGGGACAACTTTATTTTACATGGGTGCAGTGCTGCTTTGTGAAGGGCGGGATATTCATTCATCAGTAATCTGTCAGACAACAGGTCCACAGTCTCTTCCAGAACACTTAATGCGATCCTCTGTTTTTGGAAAGACACTATTCAGGAAAAGTGATAATGTGGTAGTTTTTCCATTTGCTTTCCACATCGCAGTACAACAGCCGTTCAAACCACTCTGGTCACACCTGTTGCTATACGAACTTGAACCATCTCGAGCATCACTTGCTCTGTGCTTCAAGTCGCTGCTGATGACGCTGTTTCCGGCATCAGTTTTTGGTTTTTGGTGTCTCTCTTCGTCTGATGCCTACCCTTTGACCTGTCCAGCAAGGGAGGTCCTTATATATATATATCTCAGGTTTATTTATTTATGATTTATTTAATAATGCTTCCAGTGGTCTAGGTTAAATATAATGTCGGGGTGTAGGATGATTAGTGAATCGTGAATTGGGAAGGACATGGAGGCATGCAGTTGTGGGCTAATTTGAAATATTATCCCAACATTTAAGTGGAGTGACTGAGGAAAACTGTGATAAGCCATGGTAGCTGGGCACAGGACTCAGATTTGAACCCCAACCCTTCTAGATATGAAAGAATGCTACACTTAGTGAAATTTGGTGTATGAAGCACAGCTTCAAACTCGCATACCTGATATTTATCAATAGATTTACAGTTTGTCAGTGTGTGGAAGAGTTTTGTATCAAGTGTGGGAGTTTTGTATTCCATTTATGGAACTGGTCCTAGGTTTGCCTTTGTTATCCATAGGTCTGTTACAAGTAATTTATCACTCAAAACCAGAATAGTGGTAGACTCATACTTGGAAGGTGCTTGGTTCACATCCCAGCTAGGACACTGGTTGTCCTGACTAAGGGTTTTGTGTTTTTTCTCATTCCCCAGAGGCAGATGCCAGTATAGTATCTGAATTAGGCCGTGGCCACTTCCTTCAAAATCCCTTCCGATTCATCTGTCATCTTACCATTCAGTGCTATGTATTGCAGCTCTTAAAAGTGTCATTAAATAACCCATAAAACTGTATTTACTGCCACTTATACACATGACTCGGAACTACAAGCAATTACAACTTCACTGCTAATCTCCACAGTTCGCAAATCACCACAGCACCTTCTAAGCCCTTTCTAACCTGCTGTGTCTTCACCAGCTGTTCTTTAGCAACGGCTTTAGAGATTATTAAGTTTCACGTGCTCAGGTTCTCTCTTCATGGCCTCCCATGCAGAATTCAACTCTCAGCTGACTCTGGCAAGAACCACATGGGAATGCCCCTTTTCTATTGCTGTAGTCCAGCTGTTGCATTATTAAGAATCTGCTGCCTAGCAGTGGGAATGTGTTTACTGAGCTGTTGCCCAGAAACAGTCGCTCTTTACAGAGTCACTGCTTAGCAACATACCTCTGAAATGTCGGTCGACTTTGATTGGATTAAATGGTGCTATATCCCATAAGATAGAACTCTTCATATCCACATCTGTGAGAACCTCTGATCTTACCAACTGCTAGTCTGACAAAAAGGATTCTGCTGTTTGGAGTTATTTAGTTATAACCTAAATTTTTGTTGATCTTTTATCAGTTGGTACATGTGTTACAGGTCCATATTGGTTCATGCTGTCAATAGCAGACTTTGCTATAGTTCAGCTCTTTACGGTGGCTGCTGTCTATGTGACTCATAGAACTGAAGGTATTTCTTCATTGGCTTCATTTAAGAGTCCGCAAAGAAGAGATCTTTGGAGTGTCATTATGGTCTATGAATTCTCAGCTCTTGTTGCTGTAGCATTTGATGCCGTTGCCAGGTTCGGTAAGTAATCTGTGTGCAGTTTACATTATGGGCTCCTTATTCAGTTTGATCCGTGGGGCTGAATCTGAGATCTGAGATTGTCTGTTACATGTCTCTTCTTTTTCCCCTCTTCTCCTACTCTCCATCACCTCCTTCCCTCCTGCACCATCATCATCTTCTTTATTTGATATCTCCATTACAGTCTATCAGTGGAGATTCCCCATGTCTGTCTTCTCAGCAGTCCTCTTTCTACCCATTTTCTTCTCATGTCCTTCCTTCCCTCTGCATATCATGTTTCACAGTCTGTTGTTTTCATCTTGATCTTCGGTTTTTCTCTCATGCATGCATTTTCATTTTTAATTCCACTTTGAATAAATTCTTTGGGATCCTGTCTTTGTTCATTCTTAAGACTTACCCATACCATCTTATTCCATTATTCATTAATTTATCTTCCAAGTATATATCCTTCTTCATAACTTGTACTCTTCTTGAACTATAATTAGAATGATCAAGTCAAAGAGGATGAGATGAGCAGGGCATGTAGCACAAATGGGGGAGAAGGATATTGGTGGGAAAGCCAGATTGAAAGAGATCACTGGAAAGACCAAGATGTAGGTGGGTGGACAATATTAAGATGGATCTTAGAGAGAGAGAGGATGGGATGATATGGATTGGATTGATCTGGCTCAGGATAGGGACCAGTGGAAGGCTATTGTGAACATGGTAATGAACCTTCGGGTTCCATAAAATGCTGGGAAATACTTGAGTAGCTGCAGATTTGGCTTCTCCCCAAGAAGGACTCAGCTCCATAAGTAAGTAAAGTAAGTAAGTAAGTAAGCAAGTAAGATATAATAATAATATAATACTAACTTTTCATTTCTTATTCTCTTTCTCCTGTGGAGCTGGGATAGTGACTGGTTATGGGCTGTACAGCTGAGGAATTAGGATCCTCTTTTTGACAGGGACAAGAGTTTTTTCTCTTCTCCGCTCTATCGAGACTGTCCCTAGGTCCCACCAGCCTGTTAGCCAGTGGGTATCAGGGACTCTTTCCCTGGGGGGAAAGCAGTGTTAAGAATAGTAGAGCTGTACTTCATTTACCCATGTGTCTTCATGACATTATGCTTAATATAGCACAGGGATGACTTTACCTTTACTTTACATTCTCTTTCTGGGAGGTACAAGAATCTCGTCTCTGCTGCTCATATTGTGCCGACACATACCTCTGTTCATGATGATGTTGCTGCTCCGTATGTTAATGTGGGCTCTTAGTACCTTTTTAATAGATATAATTTTTCTCTCCTTAGGAATTTCTCATCGATTTGGAAGATCAGGCCGGTGTCTAGTAGGGATGCACATATCTGTAACTAACCGGTAACATTTCCTGACTTCTGTTCTCCTGTAATTTTTCTGTTTGTCACTGTTTGCTTCCTAAGTGTTTAAGACTCCCAATTTTATTTATTTTATTACTCTTACATTTTATCTTGTTTGTGTCTCATGTCTTGTGGTGTATATTAAATATCTCCATTTTATCTTGTATCATTGTATCTTCTACTTTAATTGTAACACCAATAACACCAACTTGAAGCAGAAGTTTTATGTAAGTATTTAATATGACACATTGCATTGGTATGGATCGTTATTGGCAGTTCAATAACTGTACGTATTCCTATACATAACTGCCTGATGATGGTCTTATACGACCGAAACATGTAGCAGCAATAAAGATTGAATTGTAAAACATTAAAAACAGAGTATATTTGTGTTGATGGTTAACATAATTTCCTATATATCTCCATTTTATTTTCACTAAAATATTTCTTGACTGAGACCAACTCTAATCCTTATAACGATATGTTCCAGTTGGCTCCGAGAAAGATGGCTGCAGTGCCCTGTTTGCTCATACGCAGTACTTCTACTCATTGATTATCGCTGTGTTCATGGTGTCAAAGTTTTTAGTTCCCACGTGGACAGTTCTGTGTGTGTTCCAGCCAGTGGAAGGGGACACACATAATTCAGAGGTAGCCCTTGCTAGCAGATACAACCTGGTGAGATGTTTCACAACTAACATGCGAATCAATGCATGCCTTTCCATTTGTAATGTGTGAAGAGGGAAGAGATTTTGAGATGTTACGCTTCTTGGTATGATGCACCGTTCTGTGGCCACGGTGACAAAGAATGTCCTTTGGCACTCATCTGGCAACTTACGGGATTTGTGGGGAAAGTTTCTGGATGATCGTCTCATTCTTCTTTCTGTTATCATTTTGATATAGTAATAACAATAATTGGGGGTACACGGTAGTGTAGCTGGTTGAGGCACTATGCTATAAGCCGGAATGTTGCAGGTTTGAGTCCCGATGAGGTTAATTTTTTTTTTCAATTGACCTAATCCATCCATCCTTGGGGTTGACAGCCTCTAACAAAAATGAGTACCATGAATCTTCCTGGGGGTAAAGAGTGACCGGTGCTTGAGGCTATCACCCTTACCACCATCTGTGAGCCGATTGTGTAGAAAATGTGGGAACCTCAACGTCTCACACCCTATGGGCCTTCACGGCCTCTTACAGGGATAACTGTAAATCTTGTGTTGTAAATGGATATTTTCTGTAATGGAAGTGTAATATTGTTCATGGGCTAGCAATCTGCATTCATGAACAGATGGTCATATGATTGAATCCTAGTCAATTATAATTTATTTTATTGCTTACAGTTGTAAATATGGTACAGGTCACGTCATCATCATTATGGGAAGAACTTGTTATGTTATTACAGATCTTATCTATGTTAAATTTGTCAGACATAACCTCAAAGTTTTTAACCAATGCCATATTTCTACTTGCTGAGTTACAAAGAGTATTTTATATTTAATATGTAAGTATGTTTATGATCTGCTCCATACAACATTTGAAATTCCTGGCTGTAGTTTTTCAGTAATTATCACCATCAAACTGAAAGCTAAATGTAGATTTTGTATAGCCTTTACAGTTTAAAAGAATTACTGTAACAGAAGTTGTATATATTGTAAAGGTCTCCTACCATACATCAATTCAAGGTTTTGTGTTACTGCTATGTCCCACCTAACAGGTTTGTGTGTCCATGTGCTCTAAGTCAGGAAGTCTGAACTGTGAATGGATGTTCTTGTACATCTCCTCTAGTCAAAAGTATCTCCGGCCATGTTGCTCAATTCCTTACATTGAATAATATTACTGTAAAAGTAAATTTAATACCCTTGAAACAGTGAATAATGGAACCACTGCATAATTTCAGCATCTATTAGAAAATTAAATGTGCGAACCTGTTTTCAAAAATAAGATTCAAACTGTAAGTTTAACTGTTTTTATACATACATACATATATTTCACATTTCACAAGTCCAAAATACAGTGGACATGAAACTGGTCGCAAGCATAACACAAACAAACAAAGAAGAAAGTCAATACAAAGCTAAACAAACACTGTAACTAATTATTTACTGTATTCTCCAGAAATTCATCAACTGTATAAAGTGAGTTATTCATGAGATATGAAAATAAATTATTCTTAAAACTGATTCTATCCGTTCTAAGACTTTGAATGGTCTTTGGCAATCTATTAAATAACCTAATACCAGTACACACAGTGACCTTCTGGAAAACAGAATGATTTTAAGTTGGAATATAAATTTGATTTTTGCTCCTATTGTTCAGGTCATGAACCTCTGAACCTGAACAGAAATTATTTTCATTATGACAACTTCAAAGAAAAAATATCAAAATATCTTTGAAGGTAGTTTTCAAATTCAGAATAAAAGTATGAGTAGAATAAAAAATGACTGAATTTTATGAGGAAGAAAAATATCTTGCAAACATAAACACAAAATTCCTTGGCTTACAAACTGGCAATCATTTAAACTTGAAAAACCATATCAATCAGTTGGTTCCAAAGCTAAGTGGAGCATGTTATGCAGTTAGATCTGTCTTGCATGTCAGCAACACTGACACTCTGAAATCAAATTAATTTCCTAACCTTCACTCTTAATGAAGTATGAAAATAATTTTCTGGGGAAATTTATTTGACAGCAAAATAAAATTGTTATAATCATGATGACTGTTAAATCCTGTAATTTGTGTAGAAATCTATTTAAGAGACTAGAGATCTTAACTCTTCCATGTGAATATAAATTTTCATTAATAAACTTCATTAATAATAAAGACTAATATTTTCAGATCAATGCAGATGTACACAGTGTTAGCAGAGAAAGCAAGCGTTCTCTCCATAAACCAACTGATAACCTTTCATGCTTTCAGAAAGGCGTATGTTACGCTTGGATCAAAATTTTCAATTATCTGCCATCTAATCTCAAAAGAGTTATGAATGAAAAGGCACAATTTAAATTAACACTGAAACGATACTTAAACACACAATCATTCTACTCCATTGTGTAAGTTTTGAGGTTTTCACGGCGATGACTATGAAGAAAGTTGTCTTCTGGGTTTTGGCGCTGCGCCTTTCACTTCCTAATCATTACAGCTACTGCTTTCTGCATTCACAAGCCATTCACCTGCTCTGAAGATGGAGGCGATACGTTCCTCCGAAATGTCAGCCAAAACGAAGAATACACGGCGCCAAAACCCAGAAGACGACTTTCTTCATTCTACTCCATTGATGAATACTTATTGCCTAAAAAAATTACTCATTCATTTAAAGGCTGTGTAAATAGTATAAGTTACCAATACTGATGTATATATATGTGGATGTATTTTTGAATACCGTCATGTGTAACCACTGTTTTCTTTCCTTATGTGAAAACTTCAGTCGTTCTGTACATATGTTTTTGCATTTATATGACATTCCACACGCTACAGCCATTTTGACTAACTTTGGATCCAGGGAATGCTATGTAATGTAATGTAATGAGAGTCAGGAGGGACAGTAAGATGTTGCTACTCTAGCTCTTGGTTTCTTCTTATCCCTTTGACTTCGATCCCGGCGATAGAGCTGCCTACTAGAAATGCCAGGGCTACCTGGGGGTAAAATCATTTGCACAGAAAACCCACAGTAGTTCCTCCAGTGACCTTCAACTGACGACAGGTATAGATCTTGTGAAAGCCTATTCTTTCCTCTAAACATCAGTATATCAAACACGGTGACATATACTGATACATCAACCCAGTCGAATAAACTCATGCTGTGAAAAGGGTTAATCTAGAAATGTTCTTTGATATTTCTAATTTCAGGATGGCATACCAGACTCTGTGTCTTCCTCAATCCGAGGTTATCACCAGTATCGACGAATGTTCATACCTTCTGAACATGATATTGCCAATATAAATGGCATTCCTCGTCTTCCTTATGTGTCTGAATTCACTTCCTTACATGGTGAGTATGCCTTCCCAGAAGTCTCCCCTGAATCTCCTACTTCGGACGGACCGAAGAAGAAAGTTATCATAAGCAAGTCAAACGGGAGTGTGACAGCTACTGGGCTATCAACGATTAGTGAAGAATCAGGTAACATTTCTGTAGTTGACAGCCCATTGGAGGGCTCCCTGAAAAGTGGTTATGGTGGTAATGAGACTCCTAGGCTGCAGTATCGAAACTATAATTGTTAAAGAAAATTCAGTGTCTGTGATTAAGTGATAAGACATTTTTTTGATATTCTGGTCTCTGTTGGGTGACATAAATGTGAACAAAAAAATCTAGTGCCAAAATAACTTGATGACGTAGGACGAGACGCTATTTTGATTGTATATTGTGTTACCCTTATTTAATATGTCAATTTACCTGCTGTTGTTTCTGTTGCAACTGTGGGCTGAAAACTTTCTGTAGGAATGCATCTCTGCCTGTGGTATGGGAGTCAGTGGAAAGGAAGGTTTTATATTTTGGAATTTCGTGGTACAGACAACTCTTCAAGGACACATCTATAATGCAGGGGAATTTTGTGTATAGTATCTTACAAGCAAAGACGTCTGTTAGATATGTTGGACAGTGAACAGAGCCCATAAAAATATGCAGTCACGAAATCCAAGTTCAAAGTAAGTCTGGAAATTCTATCAAAAAGATTATCCTGGAGTATGCTAATATCAATCAAAAACTGCCCAGAATATAAACTGACAGCAATCATTGTACCTGGACTATGTGTAAAGTTAAGCACTAATCATGTACTACAAAGCATATATACAGTATGCTGCCAGTTGTCTGTGTTAATGAAAGGGGAATTATGCATGTATAATTTAAAATGAAGATCTTTCGTGGAAATTTGGAAATGACTGTGTAGTGTCTGATCTGGCAAAACATAAAATCTTTTATTCTTTCAACTTTTGTTCAAAATATTTTTGACTTTGATTAATATTCAACAGACTCTGCTTGAGATATTTTTTTTTTATTTAATTAATAGCTTATTTACAATCTACTCTCAATAATATGGAGTAAATTTGTTCTAAATAGGTGTCTTGAGTAGAGAAGTCAAGTATGCATAGGAATGCATGCAAAATTTCATGTAAAATGTTTGTAAAAATTATCCAGCCCAAGTGGAAACTAATATTGACTGACAGTTCTTCATAATATGTTTATTGCTGTCTGAGATGCAATGTCATGCAGTTCTGCAGAAGTCCACTGATGTTTCAGAGAAAATTTACTGCTTCCATCTGTGGCGATGAAGAGTAAGCCAAGCAAGCAGCCATCGAGAAGCAGCAAGCAAGCATAGCAAATTATGTATCAAAAACTAAGTCAGATAAGGTAAGGCTGTGCCATAGCTCAAGCGGTTATTCGCTGGCTTCCCACTGTGGTGGCCTGGGTTCGATCCCGGGGCTTGTCAAGTGGGATTTGTGGTGGACAACGTGGTGCTGGGGCGCGTTTTCTCTGAGTACTTCGGTTTCCCCTGCCAATCTTCATTCCACCAAATTCTCCATCATCATAATCACCCGGGGCAGGCTACAATAGACCAATCAGTGGCCGCCGTGCCAAGTGGATCCAGTTGGACTCCACCCCCCACTAAGCGAGGTCAAATAAGGTAAGTGAAGTAACTTGGAGAAAACCAATGGCAGCAAAGGTAGAACTGGACGGAGGTTAGTAAAGGACCCAAAGGGGAGAGAGACATCAGGAAGAAAGGAAAGTGAAACTAGTATATTTGTAAACAGGATGACCCCACATTGTGGAAGGAATGCATCATTGAAAATGTGTCTGTATCATGTGTTTTGAAATGTGAATGTGTTTTTTTTTCGTTCCCATTCTATAAGCAGGGATGTGTTCTACAGACAATTTTTCAGCCCACAATTTTAACAAAAATACATTTGTTTTACCCATCAGAAATAGCAGTAGGTACAGAGACACCTTAAATAAGGGTATATACTGCACAATCTAAAATAAAATGGTAATAACAACCACACTACCAGCCATCCCCTAAACATCACTGATGCATCTGCATAGGCTATCCAGTGGCCGGCTACATATCCTGTGTTGTCACTGACATGAGCATTAAAAGTGATCTGAATTTATTAGCATGTAATCGTTTCCAAAAAAAAAATTTTGGCTGAATTTATTTCACATTTCATGCATAAATGGCTTATTGATAATTTCCCAAATTTCCATGAGGACAAATTTATGGCCCAAATCACAGATTTTATGGTTAATGTTTTATAGTTTATGTAAGGGCAAAATTCTGCAACTAGAATGTCCATAACATGGGAACACACTTTACATAAAAGCTTGCTTGTGTTGTAATGACAATGATTTACCATATAAGGAGTCATTTTCTTGATGTTAGACATGGTTAGAGGTGTACAGTTTGCCAAAAGATGACACCCCCCAATGACCAGAATGTCAGACCCACATTGCTGTGCCCTGTAATTACTCAATACCTGAAACAAATTATTGTCTGTCTCAGCGTTCTGTCTCGAGTCATATAACTTCATACATGTGGTCTTGCTTGTTGATCAAAGAGGCCCAGTCCTTCGACTACATTTGCTTGTGTGACTTGATGTATTGATATTGCTGATCATATGTGTAGCACAGTATGTTCCAGGTTATATGCTCTAGTCCTGAAGAGTTTAGACACTTCTTACTACTTCTGTGTTACTGTTGTCATACTAGAAGAAGTTGGGGAGTATTTAGTTTTTGAAATATGAACTGTAGTTTTTAAGGTTCAAGTGCTACAGGTTCTACAGTTGATGTGCAAGAAAATTGTAATGTAATGCTCTCTTGCATGAAGTCTACATGTAATATGGTTTACATAGGCATACATGGCCCAGCTCACGTTTTTGAAAGTGAACATTTATTTTAAATGGGATTACCAAGATTTTTTGACTTTGTCCATCATCTGGCATTTTGAAACACACATTTCAGAAACTGGATCTGTTTTCACCCTCAGGTGAGGGGGTGGAAGACAGGTACTCTGTTGGGTACATTAGAAAGAGCTAACTCCAATCACTGGACCAACTTCCGAATGGATGAAGTCCAAAAACCCAGTAATCCCAAATGTCATACATCATCGTCAGAACCGTTTGGAACCTACTTATTTTAATGTTTTGATTTTGAATCATTAATTGGCCTCTTTTAAGATCTCGATATTAAATTTTCTCTCATTTAGAGTTCAGTTCGTATGTTTTTGATTTTTCTCCATATAAAATTTTTTTCATGGTTTAAGCATGTTTTTAGAAAAGCTGAAAATGGGGTAATTTGATATTGCATTTAATTGAAAGCCCCAAATTTATTTATCACATTCCAGAATTAGGTGGCTTGCCCTTAATATGGCATTGCATTTACCAGTGGTCATTGAAAATGTGGTGCAGTGACCAGTGTCATCTGTCATTGTTCTGTAGTTTGTATCTTTCAGTTAGCTGACTGTGTCCATTTTAAAGGATCAGCACTTTGTCACTACGCTGAGGGGACGAGACACAGTACTTCCACTCAAATTTGAAAGTTATGGCATGGTTTCACATTTTACATTTAGTTGTTCTGCCAGAAGAAGAAACAACATTGATTTATATTTTTAAAGTCTACAGTCTCTGCATAAGACTTTGTAGGTGTTTGTAATATACATTGTCGCATGTGAAATGTACCATCAGTTTTCTTCTGTTTGATCATATCTTAGTCTGTGCCAGATAATTAACATATGATGCAAATATATAATTACAAATTAAATTCAGCTCATCCAGATGCCAATAACTACATTTCTCAAATTGCAGAACTTTGTTCTGTGACCCATGGAAGCTTTGTGCTTGACTGTTGCATAGGTTTCCATGACAAAAAGAAATAATGTTTGCAAGATATTTAAAGTAGAAGGTTGTGGGTTGAAGTCCTGATGAGGTCATTGGATTTTTTCAGTTGACCTAAACCTTCCTATGGCCCTGGGATCGACTCAGCCCCTAACAGAAATGAGTACCAGGAATTAAATGATTTTCCTGGGGAGTAAAGCGCGGCTGGCGCGTAAGGCTGAGAACCTTACTGCCTTCTTTCAGCCGATTGTCTAGATAATGTAGGACTCTCAACGTCTCACAACCCTGTGGGCCTTCACGGCCTGTTACAGGGATAGCTTTACTATTGTTTTACAAGCATGTAACCCTGAAAGGAAGTTCCAGCCATGGTAGTACCTGGAAAAGTGAATTTTTCTTACAGGTAATCTGTAAATGAAGAAGATTGAAAGATTAATTTTATACTTCTAATTTGTTATGTGGTATAGTCAGATGAAAGCTTGTACTATTCAGAGAATGCATCTGATTTGTTCCAGTTTACACCCCACACTTCTAGTGTGAGTCATTTCAAGGCAATGGATATTGTGATACTTTTAAGTGGCTAATCAGTGTTGGTGCAGGAGGTACCTCTGGCCTTTCATTAAGGTCTGTACTAGAACTTAGAAGAGTTCATGAGTCATGAGTGTCAGTATCTGGATTTGATCTAAATTTAAGCCAAACCTAGTACCTAGTACAGTGGAACCCCCCATTTAAGTTTTCTTTGAGGACTGATTGATTTGATGGCTAAATGAATGAAAATCTTAAATGAAACTAATGTAACACTGCATGTATTGACTTCGGATCACTGAATTTTAATGTTAAATATAGGAAAACATTAAATTGAGGAAAATTAAATGGGAGTTTCACTTTGTAACATAGGTAATTCATTCATGTTGCCAACACTGAAGGCCTGTTAAATGCTCTAGTCTTTGTAATTGATATAGCAAGCAATAGAAAAAGAGATATATATATAAAATATGTATGGTACTTTTGATATAATTGATTCTGTCACTTTGAATTCAAAGCTTAGGACATTTCATAATGATCTGATAAGTAGAGGTGATATAGTTGAAGTGTATTCATAAATTTAGAACTTCCAACTGTGTAATAACATTAATTGCAGTGAATTAAGAATATTCTGTAGTACTGTCTTCTTCACCAACTTGCTGGTTCTATTCTGTCATCCGATTTTGAACATAATATTAGTTAGCATGTTTTATAAACTTTATCTTTTAAAATAAATTGTCATGTTAATCATTTAATCCTCACAGAAATGGATGATAGAATCCGGTAGAGTGTGTTCTAATTATATCATTCAGTAGACTAAATGTTCTAACTTTCTGGGGATATATCTATTATGAAAAGATGCAATATTTCCAGTCTATACTGAATGAATTTTGTGATACCAAGCATACATTATATTTACAATATTATACTTGAAACCTTATGTATATGGTTTGGTATTTATGTGGTTGCATGGGAGAATTGTAACAGAGCAAGTACTGAAGTATTGTCATAAAGAAATCGTTGTGATTGTTAACACATTGGATTTATTAGTGTAATAATTTATATACTCCTAAGACTGGAAAGGTTGTACTCTATAATGTAGGTAATGGAGTGAGTTCTCCAAAGTGTAAGCTTGTGGCCTTTTTTTTTCTATTTATGACCTGAAGTAAAGTGGATTGTATTATGGGCCAGTATGGCTGGAAATCAGAATTGTCCAACAAATTTGTGCGAATGTGTTTTATGTTGGATCTTTAAGAAATCTTGGTACTGGTTCACATACAGATGGACAGACATAACCTCTGCATAAGGTGTTATTGATTTTATGAAGAATACCTAAAAAGAGGTGATTATTTGTTTGGATTATAGACTAAAGTTTACTGGATTCTGGGATGTGGTACAGTGTACTGTGAACTCTTAATTATCTGCAGTCATAGAAGGGAGAAATAGCACGGATAATTAAAAATGATAAGTAGTCCAAGAATATGGAACTTCCCACTGTTTATGCTACAATTCAACTGTGCAGAACACTTTATTTATTATTTAGTGCCATGGTATTGGTCAATAACCAGTGAGCTTTAAATCATTCCAATACAAGAAAGCATCCCTTGTTCAACGGTATGTGGGTGCAGAATACAATGAAATAATAAAATATAAAACTGCTGCGGGGCGATAAAATCTACAGTGTACTGCAGAACATTATAAAGCATCACTGAATCATATTACTGAAACAGTTGCAGTGGACAACACTTAAAGCATTACAGGAAGCTGCAGTCAATATCTGAGGGTCTGTAAAGTCCAGTTATTAGTCTGCAAAGTGGATGGAGGATATGGATATAGACAATTGAGAGTCTCCTGTAGTTCGATAGGTACCACTGTATCACATTCTTCATCGTCACTGCCATGAGAACCTGACATCTCACATGGATTATAAACTGCTCATCAGATGATATAAGAAAGAAAGTAAGCCATTCTTCAGTGATAGATCAAGTGATCTTAGATTTGAGATTATTAATCTGAGTACCAGATTAAGAAATAGATATTTATATGTTGGTTGTCTCAAAATGTTTCACCAGTTT